AAAACGAAATTAAAGATTTTCTCCCCCTTACATTGTCCAACAAAGCCTGTCAATTAGGACTTTGGGAATATTCACACTGTATACAAAATAGTGTTTGTAAGTTTAAAAATACTTAAAATGTTCCTCCAAATCCCAATGAGAGGTATCTTTTTAAGACTACGACTTATGGTGTTTAGACAGTTCTCCCACACATTGCCATTAAACACAGCCTGATGCATGTGACAAATACAAACATCTACCGTTATATTTCTTACATCCATAGAGACGTTTTATGTGAATGGCACATGTGATGGCATCCCACTGTCTGTGCAGAGAGCTCTCGTGTCCGATGCAGTGGTCGGGATCTAGAATATGGCAAGTGGTTGGCATGGCAACAGGAGTCAGGTGTGCTTGCACGTGTGTGTTGTCTGTGCACAGGATTTGATATTCATTTATACAGACAATCATCTGTTTGAAAAAAACAAAACGTATGAAAATAAGGTGTTCATGTGCGCATGCGTGCTAGGGTAGCCTATACATGTACACTAATGAGTTCAGTGTTTCCTGACACGGTATGCACAAACATAAAATTAGATAAGAAAAAAAAGCGTAAATAGAACGGGCTTAAATGAGAAAATGTGCGCAAAAAAACCTCCAGATAGAATGCGTTAATGTGCTCGTGCGCTCGTGAGGGTTTGCATGGGGGAGGGGACCCCTGCACATCGCAGTGTGTGTGTGTGTGTGTGTGTAGATGGCGTGGGCTTCTCTCCTCGCCGCACAGCATCATCACTCGGTTCACACCAACAGCCTCGTACGCATCATCATCCTCATCCTCCTCATCACCATCTCCGGGCTGAAGAGGGACCACATCGCAGGAATAAAGGTGAGCTTGAATATAACATGAATAATACATAGCGACGTATTTCGTTTTTCTAGTCTGAAATATGTATTTATATTATTGCATGAAGACATCTTGAGTGAGAGACGACGGGCGTGTTCTCCAACCGTTTGCTTTCTACAGCAATTAAGGTCGATTTTGTGAATCGAGTGGAGGGCCGATAATCGAATCCAAATCGTGACAAACTGCTGGCAGTGAGATTTCTGAGAATTAGCACAGATGTCAGGATGCCAGCGAGCAGACAATCGGCTGCTATTATGACAGATGTATGTTTTAATCCGGCCGTATTTGTGGGCTGTGTAAATTGGCCTGTTAGCGACAAGGCCATTTTTTTTTCTTAACATCAATGATTTTGACTAAATTGGAAGCTTAAATTCGCACATATTTAATCAGACTCTTGAATTCACATTCTTGCTGCCGCTTTCAGGCAATTGCTGCTATTGAAACACATCAATCATGTAAGCAAATTAAATATGATAACTCTTTTATAAATCGGCCTGTGTGAGATACTACTATTAGGAGAACGGTTGGTGTTATTTCTACAGGGTTATATGTTATCTTCAGGTGTCCATATTATTAGGCACGCCACTTGATATTCTGGTAGAAACCCCCTGGTGCTAATAAGCTTGCTTGGCCTGGCAAAGGAAATGGTGCTGAGGCCGATTGATTTTTGAATGGGGGAGGAAATTAAGACAAAAAATAAAAGGGTTGCTCAAACCAGAGAGCAGGGTAATATCCATCTTCCTCATCCTCATCCTGCTCTTTACTGACAGGGCTGTGTGTTGCAGGCTGCAGGGGCCTGTAGAGATGCTGCCAACTTGACAGCAGGGACAAAATGAGAAAAGTGGGTTTAAAGCCTTTGTTTGAGTCTGACTTGCGACCCCCTAGTTTCTGTATGAAAAGAAGTAAAAATGGAAATTATTTAATGAATTTGTAGGTTACTTGTTGCATTAAGGATTCAGTAGTGTGCTGTCTGCCTATCTGCCTACCCATCTATTCATCCATCCAACCATCTAATAGTCATTGCTGACCTTAAAGCACATTATTGAGTTTATTGAGGTTCATACTCCGACAGAGACTGATTATTTTATAGCATTTGGTCCTCTGAAATGAACGTGCTTTGCTTTCTGTGTTGTGCAATCACTGTCCTGACTACAGGCCTGTAACTGATTGAGTCCGAGGCATTATTGGGTTAGTGTCCGACAGTTTAACCTGGCTGACCAGGCATGTGGGGTTCCTTTGATCTGTACCAGTAAATCTGCTCATCATGCTGACAGTGAAGGATCTGTGACTGGTGAAGATGTGCAAATCTAATTTTAAATAAACAAATTTAAACGTATTGTGCTTTGGCCAGAATATGGATGCTGGAACAGGTAGAATGTATTTTTTTAGATAATTATGAATATAAAACCATGATACAACAACGTGGTAGAAATAGGAGTCTTTTTGAACCTACTCTTATGTTCCCCCCTTTACAGCACTATAGCGTGATTTTGGTCTTTACTGCACCACTTAACAAACAAGGATTTGGTTTCACATTATGATTAAACAAAGGCATCAATAGATAAACAATTAGTCTGCACAACTCGGGGCTGCAGCTGTCACTGCGGACATGGACTTCATGTACTCTGTATTTGTTTATGTTAATTTGGAAATTTGAGCAACCTACAGAGCAGTTTTGTCCTTCTGTAATTGCACATGGTGTGTTTTAAAGGCTTATGCTAACATTTTTAGGCTGAAAGTTATCTTTATTTTCACTGTTTTTACTCCCCCAAAAATAAAAAAATATGATGGGATTCAATATTTCATAGTATTTTGCTGTTGGAGTGTGGAGGAGGCTGTGAAGTAGCATTTAGACTCTCACAATTTACAGAAAATGAAAACGAAAGAAATGAGAAAAAAAATGTAATACCATAAAATTTCACAGGTTTCTTTTTGTGGCTGACCCCTGACCTCAGCGTTTATGAAACCCTTTCTGAGGTCCTGTTCTACCTGGCAGACATTTATAGCCCTGACAGCCCATTATTACCCGTCAGACCTCGTTCCCGAAACAGCGGTCAAAGGGAGCATAGCAGTGATGTCTCTCATTCTGTCTGTTGTTTCACTGCACTGCAAAATCAAAGTGACATTTTGTTTCATTGCACGGCGACCTCACAGCATCCTAATAAAACAACATATGGATGTGGGTATCGTCAGTGAACTACACGAGTCAGTGCCTTTTCAAAAGGAGATGTGATACTGCAGCAAACAGTTGAAATGGACATCAGCTTTACGGCGTCTTTTTCTTAATTTCAAGCCTCATTTGTTTTGGAACACAGCTCCTCTGCACTCTTTCAGTTTTTGAATTAAGAAACGTATACAGTATTCTTCAATACCGTAAATGCATTTTTTTAATCACTTAAATGATTGAAAAACAATATATTTTAGTGCAGGATTTTGTGAGCAGTCTTTAAAGGAATTAATGACGAGATTATAATACGTATTACAGGATTTTCTCATAAACAGTGATCTGTAGGGCCTTCATTGATCCTTTGGAGTATTACTCACATTACAGTTGAGTCATGGTCAGATATATTATAGATAGATAGATAGATAGATAGATAGACAGATATAAACTTTATTCATCCCCAGGGGGAAATTAGCTCTTCACCATGAAATTCTGCACCAAGAAACATCCATTAAATATCACTCTCACCATTCAAGCTCTCGATGTCTCACCCTGGAATTACTGCTCAGGCCCGTCTGTGACTCAGCAGTGAACACATGCTGGGCAGATATGGAAAAGCAACAGGTCTATTCTGGAAAGACGTCATTAAAGGCTGGTTAGGTGGTTTGGTTAGCTCAATGAAAAAAAGAAGAATGATCGGCACAAAGAAAGAGACGCCCCTCCTAAATAAGACACCTAGGAGACACTTATAATAAGAGACACATTGTCAATGCATCGTTTTTTTGTTTTATTGTCTTTGTGGTAGTTTTGCGTCTCCGTCTTTGTTTCTTTGTAGTCGTTTTGTGTCTCTTAGCTCAATTTTGCACCTCTTTGTAGCCATTTTGCCTCTATTTGTTGTCACTTTGTAGTAAATTTGTGCCTCTTTGGAGTCATTACGTGTCTCTGTGTATTGACTGACTTTCCTAAGAAAGTAATTGAATTTCATCAGTCAGACAGAGGCACAGGCCCGGAGGGCTAAGGGCTCAGGGTCCATTCAGGAATCCATCCAATGTAATAGGTCACCAGAAATGTGCAGATGCTTTTGAAGCTCCTGTAAAATGCCTCTCTCCACTCAATGCAGAAATAACAAATGACATAAGACTGACCATTTTCTATTTCCATTTCCTCCACAGACGTAAAAAGAGCCTGTTGTCAGTCGACCAATCTTCAGCTCGTGAGGTGTACCCTGAACATACTGAAGCTTCAGGTGGCCTCTCCATCTTTGAACACGTTTGCATCTTCTGAACCTCTTTAAAATGGAGGAAGGCTACCAAAACCGGACTGCCTTCATAAAAGGCGCCAAAGACATTGCCAAAGAAGTCAAGCGGCAGGCATCTAAGAAGGTCGGCCGTTCAGTGGATCGTGTGACCGATGAGTACAGCAAGCGCTCCTACAACCGGTTTGAAGAGGACGGTGATGACGATGATTACCCCACGCAGGGAAGCCAGGACGGGGGCTATTACCGTGGAGACAGCCAGGCGGCCAACGAGGATGAGGGCGGCCACAGTGACTCCACGGAGGGTCACGATGAAGATGATGAGATCTACGAGGGCGAGTACCAAGGAATTCCCCGGGCCGAGTCAGGCAAGGGCAGCCTGGCTGGAGGTCCGGGCTCGGTGAGGGCCGGCGCTCAGCAGTTCACAGATGTCGGAGTGTCCGAGGCTGAGAGGAGGAAGGACCAGGAAGAGCTGGCTCAACAGTACGAGACCATTTTACAGGAGTGTGGCCATGGGAGGTTCCAGTGGACCCTGTACTTTGTGCTGGGGCTGGCTCTCATGGCAGACGGTGTTGAGATCTTCGTGGTCGGGTTTGTCCTGCCCAGCGCTGAGAAGGACATGTGCCTGTCTGAACCTAACAAAAGCATGCTGGGTAAGACTCTTTTACAGTGTCTCCTCCTTCTGTTGTATAGGTTCTGGTTTGGCTGTGTCACAAATGCATGTTTATGTTGCTTAAATGATGAGGCTTTCTATTGCCTATATTTTTGTTACAGTCAACAAATCTCCAAAACCAACCCACTAACAAGTATTGGCTGGGAATTTTATTCCTCTGAGCCTTAGAACTTCATTGTTGTCCAAAAACTATTAAAACACATCAATGAGCCAAATTCTGGGCCACGAGTTCCTTCGTTATCATGAACATGCGTCCATTGAATCAATCCTATATGGACATCATCCTGCTGCCGGAACAACTAGTAGAGCACCAAATGTGCATTAATCCAGAGCTGAAAATAGTCCTCAAAGAAAGTTTGCTAAAAAACTACAGTGCCCAGCTGTTAAAGGAAACTACTTAGCCTTTAAAAAACAACAACAGTATATTTGTAACCTGTTTTTACAGACTTATTATTGGTTTGGTGAGTTCATGGGATTTATCGACTGTTAGAGAACCTGTTGTAAGTCCAGCTGTCAGCAGAGCATGAAACCGAAAAGCCCATCATCTCCCAGTAGGAGCAAAAAAGACAGAAAATAGTTACTTTTTAATAGTTTGATTTCCTTTGCTCTCTCCACAGGTCTGATTGTATATTTTGGGATGATGGTTGGTGCTTTCCTCTGGGGGGCTCTGGCTGACCGGATAGGCCGTCGACAGTCTCTTCTCATCTCTCTCTCCATCAATAGTATCTTCTCCTTCTTCTCCTCCTTCGTCCAGGGCTACGGCACCTTTCTGTTTTGCCGACTCCTCTCAGGTGTTGGGTAAGTTGAAAATGGCGTAAAATAGTTTTTCTTATTCTGATCTGATTTGCTTCACTGTTGGATATGTTTTAATTTACAGGGAGTGAAGGTCTACAGTTACAATCCAGGACAAAGGGAAACAAAAATAAATACACTTTTAACAATAGTTCATCTTTTCAGAATATAAACTAATTACATAAATCATAACTTTCAATAATGTATGTATATAGAGGAGTGATTTAAGTAAACTGTAAGCTTTAAGTGAACTATGTTATATGTCTGACTGCACCATTTTGAGTTTAACAGTAGTAGAATAAAGTCTGAATAGAGTCTTTTCATCATTAATAATTCAATGTGGTTTAGTGAAGTGTCAAATTGAGATGCTAAAGTAATTTTAATTTGTGATCACTTTCCCTAGAGCTGCTTTGAGTAAGTTTTAATATATGATGGACTAATGCAAGCAAATAATCCTCAATACAGTTATTCAAACCAAACAAGTGGCTGACAAAGAGTATAACCAATTTAACGATATAATGTATTAATAATAATAGTCACGAAATATGTGGTGTTTCAGGATACTTAATAATGAATACATTAACTTAGCTCTTGGTTCTTAGTACAAAATGCTTTTTATCTGGCAACCTAAACTCTGTGTGCTTAAACTTTAGAAAACACAAGGACTCAGTTGGTTTCTGATCTTTGCAGGATTGGTGGCTCGATCCCCATCGTGTTTTCCTACTATTCAGAATTTCTGTCCCAAGAGAAGCGTGGCGAGCACCTCAGTTGGCTCTGCATGTTCTGGATGATTGGGGGAATATATGCATCTGCCATGGCCTGGGCTATAATTCCACATTATGGTGAGTACAGTGACCAATCCCTGCATTTATGAAGTTATGGTTTGCTACCTCTGCACTGTCCAAGCTAGCTGATCGTCTTCATTTTGACACTTAAAGCAACAGTTTAACATTTTCAGGTAAAATCCCAATATAATAATAAAGTCTTCAGACTGTAGCTTTATATTTAAAGTACAGTCACGAGAGTGGTATCAATCCTCTTATGAAACTCTCCCCCAGAAAACGAATAAGCTAAATGCATTTCACAGAATGTCCAATGAATCCTTTATATTAAATATTTTTGCAGCAAACAAAGTCTTGCATATAGCCAGTGTTCAGCGCTGAAGAAAAGTGCACTGTGGCTGAACTCTGACTTGCACCGAGGGAGGAAAAATAAGAACATGGTTCATACAGTGTCACATCAAATTAAATATATTCCAGCCTGTGCTCTATAAAGATTGATTGTCTGACCTTATCCGTTACTGTCTTGACTCACATTTGTAGGGAAAAGCGAAAGCACAAGGTGTGAGCTCATTTCTTTGTGTCGGTTGTTTTTGTCTTCTCAGGATGGAGTTTCCAGATGGGCTCGGCGTATCAGTTCCATAGCTGGCGTGTGTTTGTGTTAGTGTGCGCTTTTCCCTCTGTTGCAGCCATCGCTGCCCTCAGCGCCATGCCAGAGAGCCCACGCTTCTACTTAGAGGTAAGCAGATGTGCTTGTTGACAACAGTCTGACTGTGTTAGCTGCTCTACTCATGTATGAGTCATTACAAATGTGGAATATGTTGAGTAAAGATGAATGAAGATCTATACATACCAATATCATAGAAAGGTATGACGTTTACTTTTCTTTCTAACAGAATGGCAAACATGACGAAGGCTGGATGATTCTGAAGCAAGTCCACGACACTAACATGCGGGCAAAGGGACACCCGGAGAAGGTGTTTTCAGTGAGTATCTCTGAGAAAATATTGTTTTATTGAATCATATCGTTTAGATTAGCTCACAAGCAACACTTTTACATATCTTGGGTCTTTATGCCTTTACTAGATAGCCGACAGCATGAGAGATGACGGAGGAGGAGGAGGAGGAGGAGGAGGAGGAGGAGGAGGAGAGAGAGAGAGAGAGAGAGAGAGAGAGAGAGAGAGAGAGAGAGAGAGAGGGAGAGAGAGAGATTGGGAATGAAATGCAAAAACGGGTCCTGGCCGTCTTCAGTAAAAGCTGCAGAGTTATTCAAATTGAATCTCCAGGTTAACACCATAAAACCATGAAAATAGTTTCCCTTTTACTCTGAAATCGTTACCCCTCTTATAGATAAGGGCCAAACAACATCTGCTTCCACATTTCCTCCATATTTTTCAGTGTGTCGGCATAATAAAGAAACAACAACAACATGTAGTATTTTCCAAAAGAGGTATTTTTGTCAAACAAGTTGTGAAAATAGAACCAGCTGATTATAGCGCCCAATTAATGTTACAATGCAACTTTTCCACATCTCAAACATTGTTATCAGGCTTTAAATTCACATTAAGTGTCAAACAAGTTGTGGCTTTCAAGAGTGGTAATGCATTCAAATTTTAGGAGAAAAGTAACAATATTATTTGTAATAGTTTGCTTCATCCTTTACCTCTCACTGTGTTATCATGTCTGACATTCCTCTATGGAGGACACACCAACAGGAGGAAGAGTTTTAGGAAGTCTTTTCAGAAAAAATACAAATACAACCAAAATTCATTTCTTGACATCTGGCTAAAGGGCTTGCATCTCTTTCATCCAAGGTCACCACAATTAAGACGGTGAAGCAGATGGATGACTTGGTGGACATTGGCACCGACACTCCGGTCTGGCAACGCTACAGGATGAAGATTATGAGCCTCTCCCAACAGGTGAGTGAAGGAGATTTGATGTTAAGCAGGCAGTTCTGGACCCAAACTGTGACCAAGTTTTAAAAGCATGAAATAAAATGTCATTAAGATCAAATCTGAGATCACTGCTCATTTAAAAATAAATGTGTTAGTTATTGTACCAGAGTATGGAGCTGTGGCCTTTTACAGCTTGGGGCTTGCTGTAAAGACCTCAGTGGAGCTGCATAGGTTGAATGAACCATGGAGGATGGAGGATGGAGGCGTAATGTCCAAGAGTAGCCAAGAAGTTAAAAATGGCGTCTTGTTGCTGCACCACTGCTCCAAGCAGAAACTTGACCACCTTTGTTCCGGATTTTAATTTGCATTCAGCCTACGTTCTGCTGCTCGCCTACACCCTCCATTTTCTTCTGAATCTGCTTCTGCGCCACCTGCTAAATGCCGACTGTAAATAGAAACATTCAAGTTTTACCTCCTATTCATAAACTTTAGTCCAGCACTTTGTTACTGCTCCGACATGTCCGCTGGAGTCACTAAATTGCAATGTGTGTCAAAATAACATAATTTAATCAGGAAAGTTTAACTGAGAAAAATCTCATGAGAAGTCTAAATCTGGTGTCAATCACGGTTTTCTTGTTCACATGTTGCAGATACGGAATAACATTCTTGCCTGCTTCAGCCCAGAATATAAACGGACGACGTTCATGCTCATGGCTGTTTGGTTTTCCATGTCTTTCAGGTAAACTAAAGACTCATAAAACCTTTGCTATATGGGGAACCACGTTCACTTTTCAAAGGCTTATTTCATCTGTCCTGACTCTAAAAACTTTGCAGCTATTACGGTCTGACGGTGTGGTTCCCAGACATGATCAAGTACATCCAGAAGCAGGAATACGATTCACGCACAAAGACCTTCACCAAGGAACGAGTGGAGCATGTCACTTTCAACTTCACACTGGAAAACCAAGTGCATCTCCAAGGACACTACTTCAATGACAAGTAAGTGTTTTGTGAGCTGCCGTTTTTTGGTGAGGCAGTTTTAATAAAACTACAGAACAAAACATTTTGCTGAAAACCTGTGACCTGTTTACTAGGTTCCTCAACCTGAAGATGAAGTCCATGGTGTTTGAAGACTCAGTGTTTGAGGAGTGCTACTTTGAGGACATCACCTCCATACACACCATCTTCAGAAACTGCACCTTCGTTGCAAGTTTGTTCTACAACACAGGTAAACATCCTCAGAAATTCATCGGTGTGTTCAGTATTGATCTGCACAGAGGTCAATGGTGTTATTTTTCAATAATTTTGTCTATAAAATGTCAAGAAAGGATGAAACATGTTTATTAAAAGCACATAGAGCTCAAGGTGAAATCTTTAAATCACTTGTTTTGTTTTAACAGTCCAAAACCCAAAGATATTCAATATAAACCAGCCATAATGATTAATCTATTTACATATCCAGCAAACCAAGAGAAACATTAGCATTCATTTGAAGTCATATTTTTGGCCAACCATCAAATTTTATTCTAATATTCTCCTTTCAGCTCTGTTTTGGTCTCCACCAGCCCCTGAGTGAAGTATCTGGCTCTCTAGCTGCGAAATGCTTCACTATGTTCACACACTAGTCACTAACTGTGTCTGCCTGCCTTTGGGTGCTGGGCAGGTAGCGAACTGTGTGTTTAACAGATTTGTTTTGCTGAAAACAGCTAACGAGATCAGTGAGACTGAACCAAAACAGTAAAGTGATGTGAAACCACAGCAATGAGTTCAAATAGATTAAAACGCTCTGTAGAGCTGAGGGGAAAAGCAATCAGGTGATCATTACATAAAGTCATTTGATACATTGTTAGGGTAAAAATATTGATTATTGCAGTAAAACACTTTAGGTAAACTGTTTTTAATGATCTTTTTATTTCCCACTTTTATTAGACAGCTGCTCAGGAAAAACAATCTGTAATAATTTCAGAATAAATATGAATTTTAAGTAGTTTTTATTGCCGCCTGAAGTAAAAATATAGAAAACATAAAACACAGATGTTCAGCAGGACTGCAACCATGGAAACATTCTGCCTCTAGTATCCCTGGGTTACGCCGAAGAGGGCTGTTGCCCTAGCAACATAAACAAATCCAGACAGAGTGGTGCAATTAGCTGTGAAACAGTGCTTCATGATGACGAAAACACAGATGTAACAATGTGCTTGTTGGATAATCAGAACCAAAGCTTCCTCACCACTTGACATGCCAGCTTGTTTTTTTTCTTTATTTTTCTTTATTCTTCTTTATTTTTCTTTATTTTTCTTTATTCTTCTTCTTTATTTCAATGTGCCTTTTGTTTTGTATGTTTGCTGTTGTTCTTGAGATGTTTTTGTTCTTGAATATCAGCTTCTACCGAAGCAAGTACCAGCCGCAACTTGTTTTACACTAACTATAGCTCATTTATATGTGAATGCTTTATAGGTGTGTAACTGTACACAATAATGCACACAAAAGTGTTAAGTTTTTAGTGCACAGAGGGCATTTGCTGTATGGTTTTGATTTCTGCATGTTTACTTTTGATCGATGTGTCAGTTTCTGCCTGAGAAAACAGAGAAGCTCTTGAATCCCAACAGAAAGCGCCTCAGCAGCTTTTACAGCAGCAGTATCTCCTCATCCCCGAAGCCAACGATGCATTCTTTTATGTTTATGTCATTTGGACATCTTCAAATATACGATCATTCGGCACTTTTATGTCTCCCTTACTCCGTTTAATGAAACTGTTAGTGGTTGTTGGTATGGAAGCAGTTTCAGCAGTGTCATCAGAAAATCCAATCCAGCAGTTTTTGCGGCTGCAGGCATCAAAGTATAAACAGAGAAAGTAGAAGGTAATGGGCCTCGTAACCTCTTCTGTTTTTTCCCACCGTTATTCATTTTTTAAAAGTCAACAGTGATGGATGCTGTTTTTTTACATTTGATCTCTGCCTAAAAGAGATTTTGATTAAAAACAGCTGCTGGCAGAGGATTGGTTGTGTGGTGGCTGTCCTTTGGCTCTGAGATCATTCAATCCGCAAGTGTGTAAGATTTGGTTTCAGGGAGCAACTATGAAGTCAGATGCTCTTCATCCCCAAAAAATGTGCTTTCCATAAGGATGATAGTATAACCACAACAATTATAAATATCATGTGAATATATGTAAAGTCATGTTCAGTTTCATTGATAAAGACCTGATATGATACATTATGTTGTATCCGTACTACAATCTCTGCTATAAAGAGCACTGTCCCTTTTTTGGTTAATATTCACTTCTAGCATCTTTTAGATGATAAACTGTAAGTAAAAACGTAGATTTTACCTGGAAAGTAAGATTTTCCATCCTTGAGGTATCTCTCCTGCATACAGCCCTAACAAACTCTGTAACTATGCCTGCAATGCCTGAGGATTTAAATGAGTGTGTTTCTTTACATTTAAAAAACACAGATTTAAACATGAAACTGTAAAGGTAGGGGAACAAAAGTAGGGTTTTTAAAAACCCATCACCAGTGGTAATCAAACATTTGCATTTATGTCATTTCATTTCTCTAGTATTCATAAATCTCAGAGCAATAACACCTCTCTCTCTCTCTCTCTCTCTCTCTCTCTCTCTCTCTCTCTCTCTCTC